AATTCAGATCCTCATTAAGTTTACCAATTGAGCCTTGGTATTGCTTTGGGAGATGTGTATCTATTTTAAATTTGCATAAATTTTGATCGTTTAAACTATTCTAGCTTGTCCTTTGAGGCTGATGATGAGATCTGTGACATGATGATAGCTATCGGCATGATTCCGACTGCTCTGCTTCATCTTTGACACGTTTTTAAAGGATTTATAATAGAATGATCTACATTTTTTACTTATCCTTTGTTGTTATTTTTCTCTTGCGTACAGGATAAGTACACTCTGGTGAGTGGCATAATCGCTAGCACGAGGTTGACCTCTCGACAGGTTGTGGCTGTTACCGGAGATGGTACCAACGACGGTCCAGCGCTGAAGCGCGCAGACGTGGGCTTCGCGATGGGCATTGCGGGCACTGATGTTGCAAAGGAGGCCTCAGACATTATCCTAACCGACGACAATTTCACTAGCATTGTCAAGGCTGTAATGTGGGGCCGCAACGTCTACGATTCGATCACAAAGTTCTTGCAGTTTCAATTGACCGTTAACTTGGTTGCCATCACTGTGGCTTTCGTCGGCGCTGTCGCTCTTAATGTAAGGCTTCAGAGTACTTTTTGCTTGCTAATAAGCACATTATCGTTAATTTTATCTTTATTTTAATGCATTTTTCCGAGTAATGTATGATTTAACCCATTTTATTCCAAATGTTTTGGTCTATTTTTGTTTCCATCGGTACTCAGATCGGACCGCTGCTGCTACTCAATTCTCTTCACTTGTTGCAACTAGCAGGCTGTTAGCTAATTATTTGAATATTTTATTATTATTTATTATTATTTGAATAGAAGTTTGGTTTAAAGAATCCTTCATCAAATCTTGTAAAGTTTGCGTGGCTTTTCATTTGGTTGCCTACATGGTTCTCGTCTTGGAATTTTAAGCGCCTAATTGACTTTGGCTCATTATTAGAGGTGCTTTCTGAAATTTCACCATATTTCACCTAACTCAATGGCCAATTTACAAACAAATGTGCCATATCTTCTAAGATAGATATGCTATTTTTGACATAAGTTTCATATGCATTACAGATAATTTAAACTGCATGGCACAAGGTTACTATTTATTTTTCATCATGCTCAGTTATATTATCCAACTATTTGCTATAACACCCTTATAGCTTTTTAAAAGACCTAATGTCAACACCATTAGTAAATTGTTATCGTCAGATGGGAATGGCTATTTTCGGTTGTATTACCATTATTGACAATAAATGCAATCACGACGAGCTTGCATTTATTCTCTTTCACCTATTCATCGGATTACTTCTGTTTACGCTTAAATGATTAATTCACCCCCTTTACTGCTCTCCTTACCTGTGTCTTTGCCTTTATTCACTCTGCCGTTTCATGGCTCTTTTGCCACCACTACTAACTTCCCTTTTGTCCTGTTACACATTTACACTTTGGTCTAGACCTCTATCTCTTAAGATCACTTTTCAGGTTTATTCGCCTCGCTGAAATTAATTATATTCCTGTTCCCATCTGCGTTCACTTATTCATATCCATTTGTCCGTGTTCTTTCATTCATCAATGCTTGTTAGCCTGATGAAAAATTACAGGAATTTATC